TATATATATATATATATATATATATATATATATATATAAAGAGAGATTCTTAAAATCGAAAAAAAAGCTAAAAAGAGAAAAGGGAGTGATACACTTTTCTATAAATATTTTAGATGTTTAGTCCTCCTATATGTCTGGAATTATAGCTATGTTAGTATGTATATATATAAAGGGTATCACTAGAATTTCAGTGGGTGTTGTCAATAGCGTATTCTTTTTTGCTTCACAATGAAAGATCAAGACAGTGGCAACTTCTGAAAAAAAAATCAACGACTTTATGTAGTGTTGAAAAAAATAATGGACAAAACGCTTCTCGAGATCAAGAAAAAAAACAATATTGTAGAAAGTAAAAGCAGAAACAAAACTAAAAATAGGTCTTTGCCGTATGGAAGTTTTATTTCCTGGAGAATTGAGCCAGCTCACTTTGTATATTTTTAATATCTATTTACATATAATACAATATTATACGTATATAGATATATAAATATTTATACAAATATTTACTTATCTTTCCTTATTATTAGCCCAGTGGAAAATAAAAAGCTGGTTGATCAACCTCCTTGTGTATAAATAAAGTAATCACAAGGTTGAGCGGATTAGCTCTTATAGTAAGGATTTCCGTTTCAACCTTTCCCTTAAGGTTTCCTAAAAATAATATGTAAGATGCAAACAATAAAGAATCTTGTTTCTACAGCTCACAAGTGAAACTTGAAAGAAAAATATAAAGAAAAATGGTAATAGATGAAGAAAGAAGAATTATTGTAACAAGTGGTAGAATTAGGCAGGTAAAGTAAGCTCCAAAGTCAAAAATTTTCCTTTTCTCTAACATAATACTATTTAGTGAAACAGAGGATGAGGCGTTTATCAGAAATTTGAAAAATAATCCCTTCAAATTACATACTATATTTTTTCCGCACTTTTATTGTTATCCTATTTCGATCGCACACATAAATATCGATACGTTATTTTTTTTCTGATTCAAGACTCTCGATGGTTCTCAAAAGATGCTTGATACGGTACTTGTGTTTGTCTATTTGCATGCGCAGCCGCTCGTTCTCCTCCGTCAACTCATTTCGTTGGGTTTGGATTTTCTCACACTCCTCACGATCTTCATGTAAAAGCTTCAGAAGCTTCTCTAATCGCTCGATTAAAGAAGATTTATCCGTCACGCCATCGACCATCTTCAGAAGATTTTCAATCGCTTTCTCAGAGTCATCAGCCCTCTTTTCGAGAGTTGAGATGACCTTCTCAACGTTTCCCGAGTCTAACTCCATTCTTCGATTAGAAAAACGAAAATGAAAATATGCAGGAGTAGGGTAAAGATAACGTACAAGATAGTAAAGCAAAGGCGGCGGATTCGAGCACTTAAAAGTCCGTCGTAACACAAGAGAATACACAGCAAAAGAAGTATACAACGACACTTGAAAAAATTGTTAAAAATGTATCTCTAATGAATATATTCTTTATGCGCACGTTTTATTTTGTAATATTAATCTTGTAAAAATGCTTTATGGTTAAGTCAAATTTTTATTTGTAGGAAAAATTTAAAGGGAGTAATAATAAAAATTATGCAGTCAAAAGTTACTGAAATTACAAATCTGACACTGAGTCCAATGAGAGAAGGGTTCAATCAAACCAATAAAAACAAGGAGTAACTGACAGAAAGGTAATTCGACATTAATGACGCAACACCAACAAATGCGTAAAAAATCTCCTTCAAAAAATATACAGATTTCACATAGCTTCGAATAGATTAAAAGGAAATTAAAAAAAAAAGACAACAAACGTAGTTTTGGAAAAGGAAAGTTTTGTGACCATGAGTACTGTAAGCGAGCATTTTTTCTTTTCCTTCTCCCTCCCTCCTACTCACTCACATAGACGCAATATCTACACACCTCCTTTTCATTAGAAAAAAAAAAAAAACGTGCTCAATCCCACCGCCGCGCCATTTCACGTGCCTCTTCGACAATAGTGCGAAGCTCCGATAAGGTTAGCTGATCAAATACTTTGTTTTGCACCACCAAAAGATCCCGGATAGCGCCCATTGGGGCATCTTTGAGATGCACAATTCCGGATGGGGAAGATTCGGCGGGTTTTGCGGGAGGGTCCTCGCCTCCGCTGGTAGGTGTTTCGTGAGAAGAAAAAAAACGAAATGGCCGCCAGAACGGCTTCTCAACAAGAGGTCCAGAGGATGGCGTTGGATTCGCCGGAAGCGAAGAAGAAACGGCCGTCGAAAGACAGGGTTGTGCGTCGTTGCTGAGTGACTCCATCCTGAAGGACGTCCCCGTCGTTGTCGGGTGTAGAAGAGTGGAGGTTTGTCGTAGAGATGGAAGGAGGTTTTCCTCGTGAAGCATACTAGGCTGCAGACACCTTTCCATCAGCCGGCGTAAGACAACCCCTGATGACGTTGAAAGTCCGGCATCCTCGTCAAAAAACGAGGACGGACCCTCGCCATTCGGATCCCCCGCCTCGGCGTCGTCCGCTGTGTCGTAGGCCATCCAAAACTCCACCGAGGCGTTGAGGTTAGAGAGGACATAACGCTCCTCGGATGAGCACAGGGCCAGCCCGCGGTAGGTGTCGATGTAACAGACGTTGGCCCCGTAGTTACAAGGCTGTGCCCGCAGGACCAGCAGCATAAAACAGGGCAAAAAGACATCCGCGCCAAAACTGGGCATCCCACTCTGTACGGACTCCTCCCCTGTCTTTGCCTCGTTCGCCTCAGAAAGGCGTGGGAGGGGCGGGGGGGAGTCCGACTGGCGGGTGAGGAGGACATTGCCAATGATGAGGCTTAATAACTCACTCGCGCGCATCGCACAGCGTAGCTTATCACGGGGGGATTTAAAGAAATTCATGCCATCCAGCTCAAACATCGTCTGTCCCCACAGGTAGTGTTGCTCAACCTCTAGCAAGGCGTCGAGTTGAGGTGCGCTTATGGTGCTCGCACGCTTGAGTTTTCCCTGTAAAACTTTATTTTTGTGTAAATCAACGGGATTCGTGTTGAAAACCCGCTGATAGAGCTTCGACATAACGAATTTCTCAAGTCCTTCGCGGAGAATCATAAACCGTCTAGTGTCATTGCCCGTCGAACAGATCTTTTCAACCATTTCACAAGTGTTGTCCATAAAACGGTTATAGATACGATCTATTTTTGACGGCGCTGTTTTGCGATGAACCTCCAAAAGAAATCCAGTGACTAACCTCACCAGTTCGGAGCAGATTGGTTTGCTCATTAAATGCTCAAATTCTGAATAAAAGATCTCATTGTCTTCGGCGACAATTTTCTTGTAGTTCATAATGCTTTCCTTACTGTATTTATGAGTGAACAACTTCATGTGTTGACTAAATACGGAATGCGTTTGCTCGCGAGAACTCTTAGAAGCGTACGGCATGAGATCGGTTTCAACGACGACGTCGTCCAGTGGAAGAGTACAATCCGGCTGAGCGTTGAAGTTTAAAGTCGCGCTTTTCCCCAACTTTTCTCCTGCAAACGGCAAAGATAAAGAAGAAAGAGGGAGGGAATGAAGTCCCTCCGTTGGAACCTTCGTTCGTGGTGGACGCGCGACGCGCTGCAGGCTATGGTTCAGATTTGCCAGCTCCTGCTCGTCCATCAATGGGCGGTCAATAATGTACATGTGAAGTTTAAGAGGATGATATGGATTTAGCGAATAATCTGATAGGGTAAAAAGAGGGTTCATATCACTGAGCACTGGTACTACCCCAAGCCGACCGAAGCGCTTAACAGCATCCAACGCGTCTGAAAACTCGCCTCGGTGGCCTTTGGCTGTCGTAAAACGCGAATTGCCCGACGAATCGAAGTGAATAAGGTGAAAAAGGACAAATTCACAAAGGACCTTTTGCATTCCCTTCAATAGGCTACAGGAATCCGCTTGTAAAGTTTCCTTCGTCATGTCGTCTTCTGGATGTAATGAAGCATTTTTAGCAGACGCTTTTCCATCGGCAGGGTCCAATATAGCAGACGAGGAGGCCATGTTAAAATTAAATATGCTTCCTAAAGGTGAATTCTGTTCTAATATTTCTGCGATCCTAGTGGGGCTTTCAGAGAAAGAAGAGACTGTGTCCTCCGAAGCAGCTGGTGGTGACATCCTCAAAAACGTGTCTAATCCACATGAAAGCAACGACGATTGCTGTGGAACAAGTAGTGCTTCATAAGGGCCCTTTTCTTTGTGATGATTCAAAATACCGCCAACGTTTAATGCCTTAATGAATACATTATGTGTGCACTCGTTCGTTCCAATAGTGATTCTATTTGAAACGGAACTGGAGTTCATATGTCCCAAGGTGTTAGAAGCAAATGTGAAGAACAATAATCAAATAGCACAAAGTATGTACTAGGAATTGAATTCAGCTAAAAGAAAAAGGCTTTTGTGAGACAGCCCGTGACCTTAAAAATAATCATTAAAAATGATAATAATAATAGTAAAAGTAATAGGAATAAGGATAAATATGAGAAAGAAATGTTCAAGATTTGATATATATCTACATTTGATGTATTTTCTTGACTGGAAAAAAATGTACAGCAAAACAATTACTTGACACAACACGCAAATTAAGTACAAATAATGTGGATGTTGAACGTGCATTGCTCGCTGCGTATCATGTGTGCATATGTTTACCTGCTTAGACGTTCATTTATATTTTAGAAACAAATTCTTAGTTTAAAATCAAAATCAAAAGATGTGTTACCACGAAAGTAGCAACGTCGATCGTTTAAAGATCCCATCTTCGCAACATTTGTAAATACCACAATCATCCCCCTTTCACTCATACAAACAAACACAAACACAAACCTACTGAGCCGCATTGCCTCTTCGCCTAGCTAGCGATTTTTTTGGTGCCGATCTTCTTCGCCACCCCATTACACCAATGCGCAGTAAGTTCAATTTTAAACTCCGCTGACTGCACCCCGAAGAGCTTCAGAAGCTGCGCAGCTTCCGCACTCAAGGTATCTCCCTCCTCGCAGACCGTCGTATCCTGCAATAGGATAATTACGCCTTTATCGAGTTTAATCGGTAGGCCCAATCTCGCGAGGTGATCAAACATGCTGTGTGGGAACTGCGTGAGCGGCCCAGCCGGCAGGACCAGAGACGCAGCCGCCGTCTGCCCCGTCCGGGCGTAGACAGCCGCGCCGACCTGCGCGAAGTACTCCTTCACCTGGTGTTTACTTAGGTTCGTCAGAAGAAGCCCGCAGAGACCGGAAAGAAAAGGTGTAAGCTTGTAAAGGCCGGGCCGCTGGGTGACTTTTTCATCGCGACCTATCGCGATCGCCATCAGTTTGTTATTGCCGAGGAAAAGACGGCTGTCATCACCGCGCTCAACGCGAATATGCTGGAGGATGTTTGTACGGGTATTGTGGAGACGGAAGGTGTAGACATCTGAGTAACCATCCAGGGACTCACGGATCTGCAGAATAAGTCGATCTTTATCTTCGCGAGTCTTGGCATGGGTTTTAGTGAGAGAGACAACCTTGGCGCGCTTGGATTTCGGCATGATGATGGCCTTTATTGGGTGAGGAATAATTTTTAAAAGCACGTTATCCGTGTGTTAAATAGGTACACCTCTATGTCTCAAACTGAAGTGGGTAGAAGTGAAGGCATTATATTGCTGTTTGAAATTCCATTAAAAAAACAAGCATCCATCTAGATGATTCATTTTAAAAGCATACACCGTCCCTCATCATTAGTATGAACTAAATTAATGATTGCAATTTTTGCATATATTAAAAAATACTAGAATAAACATATGGGTATACAGAGAGTTTAACTATATACAAGGCATCACGTATGCGGATGCAAAGGTATATAAACATCCATAATAACTATAGAAAGAATTACAGAAGCAAACACTAAATATTAAAAAAAAATCTATAATTAAAAACAAAGGTGCTAAAAAAAAATGTCTCTTTAGTATGAACCAAAGACTCTGAGACCAAAACAATAAACATAATCGGTTGTTGAGAAGTCTTCTTCCTCAGTCCAATGATGTCCATGTCCGATCGCACGGACCAATTCCACCATTAAGGGTGAAGTTTTGAGGTCGGTCCCGGATCGCTTCTTTAATTCAGCAGTAGACTCAGTGTCACAAGGATTCGAATGCAGGTGTGAAAGGAAAGCTGCCCTTTGATTCGCTTTCTCTTTATCGCTTAGATGCACTACACCTTTAGGTATTTCATTCATATCCTCCAACGACGAGTATTTAGTTGATGGAGAGGTAGAGTCCGGGGAACCCTCCTTCGTTTCCGAAAAGAATGCCTCATTGAGGGCCGCCGAATACTCCTCGTCGCTGATTTCTCGGGGGTTTCCAGGGGTGCATACATCATAGATGGTATTCTTAATATAGGCTGTGCTAATCGTCGTATGGGCGGCCTTTACGTCGCAGCCAGTGCGGGAAACCCACCCCATGGTATTTTTCGGGATGGACGGGAAACCTAATATGGAAAATCCGCCCCAGGGGACGAAAT